ATTGAGTAATAAAGAGACAGAGCTGAAGACTCACTCCGAGCTTTCTTTACTGTTTTAAAAATCCTGAGCGGTCGATCGGGTTGGTCCGCAAACGTAAAATCAAACTCAAAAATAAAGCTCATTTACTATAGGAAGCAACAACAAATCACTTGCAAAACAACAACAGTGCGCACGAAACCCCATTTGTTTTTTCGTCGTCCGTCTTGATCTTCAAAAGTTTCTGCGCGATGATGAGGACATAGGAAACTCAGTGCAACGAAAAGGGACAAATAATGCCACTGTGTTTGTTGCTGGTTTCGCTGTCGTTCCAACAAGGCAGCGCGTAGAAACAACAACACTATTTGGGTTCTAATGTTGTTGTTGCATAGCCGAGTCTCGGCACAAGAAGGTAGAAAAATCGAATGCGAGCAGGCCACGCCATTTTAATCAAAGGGTTACGCACACGCCGAGTCAACATCACATCATGCGAACTTCACTTCTTGTGATGCTTAGAATATATTTCTATCTTTATTACGTACATTAAAGTAATATATCAATAGGGTCTTTTATAATAATGCATGTATTTAATAATGTATTACTTTATTGTACGCCACGATCGCACACAAAAAGCCTTAAGCTGTGACGTCACATGCGCAACAGAATGTTGCAATCTTCTCAAATTCATATACTTCCCTTGGCTTGGAAAACACATACATGCATATTTTTTTACCAATATGTGTGAGATGAGACGCGTCGAGGCATTGATACCCTTATTTAGAGAAATGGTATAGAATGTTTCAAGAGAGCAATTATTATTGACTGTACTAATAGTTGCACACTAAATACGATATTATATTATTCTCAGACATTAGATAAAAATGTGTATATGAGAAGGTTTGTGGTATTTGGTTACAGAACTTATGAATAGTTAAAATACCCTATTTTGAGAAAGGGTGCCTTGCTGATCGAAAAATGAAATATTATAAAAATCTGTCCAGCTGCTTGCAAGTTGAAAGCGAGTGGAGAAGAAGAGGACATGACTTACATTTTCTAATTTTGTTATTACTATCCTGATTTTCCTGCTATTATTTTTAATGCAGTAGTCAGTATATTTATACTACGGGCATGCCAGTGATTAACTCCTAAAGTGGCCAGCAATGTTTCAATATATACTTATCTGATGTCCGTGGTAAGGATGTAATTGCAATACATAAACCTGATAAGCCCTACCATTTTGGAGAACATTGATGTTGAGGAAATAAAAAATGAACATCACACCAATGTTAGCATATCAGACATTTCAAAATGAAAATTTATTTTACTTTTTCATTAAATTTCCCAAACCCAAATTAGTTTGTAAAACAGTTTAAGTTTAGCCAGTTCAGCAACAAACACAGTGGCATTAGTTGTCCCTTTTCGTTGCACTGAGTTTCCTATATCCTCATCATCGCGCAGAAACTTTTGAAGATCAAGACGGACGACGAAAAAACAAATGGGGTTTCGTGCGCACTGTTGTTGTTTTGCAAGTGATTTGTTGTTGCTTCCTATAGTAAATGAGCTTTATTTTTGAGTTTGATTTTACGTTTGCGGACCAACCCGATCGACCGCTCAGGATTTTTAAAACGGTAAAAAAAGCTCGGAGTGAGTCTTCAGCTCTGTCTCTTTATTACTCAATGACTCAATGCATAGAGCCGAAGCTCAGAGTACATTATGTTTTTAGCTTTTCACTCTTTCGGCTGTGAGAGCGCAATGGTACTAATTTCGTTTTCGTTCTTAAATTTCAAAAAAGCAAGCTGCATAGTAGCATTTTGTTGTATGGCGTTACTCATCTTAGTGTTTATATTGTCTTTGGTATAACCGACTGTGTATTTACAAGTTGAATAATCATAACAATAGCATGCATTCTGCGGCCGAATTCAAATAATGCTAACAGCAGCAAAAATCATAAGAGCAGAATGCCTTCTGCAGCCAAGCTCACATATTGTCAACAATCATTTATAAACAAAAAGTGACTAACAGAAAGGCGCTAGCATAAACAAACTGCAGCTGCTGTCCCTTTGCAAAAAGTCACGTATTCCAATTATTATTTAGCTTTAAATATAGATAGATTTGTTTCTTATGTGTACATTATTTTATTTGTTTGTTTATATTCGATTGGATGAACAATATTTAAATTAACTGCGAGTCAATCAAATTAAAAGAGCTACGTGCCAAAAATTACAATTTTGTTTGTAAGTACAAAAATCAACAAGAGATTGGGTGTGGCGAGAGGCGATTACGAATCGAACATATTAGTAAATAAAAAACAAAAAGCACACTTAAACTGAAGTGGTATATGAAGCCGAATGTATCAGGCAGGATACTAAGCATTTTATCATAAAATAATAAAAAGGTTTAAAATAAACATAAAATTCGGATGCATTAGCAGAAAATAAGGACGAAATTTGAAACATACTTAGAAATAAAGACTTACCCCAAAACTTATTAAGAATTTCCTAAGAAGATATAATAGACAACCAAAAACACGAAAAGAAGAAAAAACATGTGACTTACATATGTATATATTTTTTTACTTATTTGACGAAATGAGACTACTAAGAAAGACATGGGATTCGAATAGGAAATGCCCAAATAGGGGCCACCCTGAACATTCTTTAACATCAAATACAGCTAGCGGTACGCATGCGTTTGGCTTAGCCTTAAATATTGTTTTTTACCTGTTTAATACGTTAAGGGATGTACTAGATTTATGAAAAATAAATTAAAGAAAATAAAGTTAGTTCCCTCTGGCGGTGTCGATTACACAGTTTATAATTAAAAAGGACATGGAGATAGTTTGACGTTGGTTTTGAGAATGAATTTATTTAATTGTCACATAGGTTATGTAGCTTACAGTTCTAACTTATCATAAATATGCTCCGGGAGAAAGAGCGTACTCATGTATATATGATTATATAAAAGTATTAGTGCAAGGTATTAGTGTAAGGAGAGTTATAATCGGCCACAAAGTTGTGGGTTATCCGAGATGTTGCAGTAGAAGAACCCTAGGAGCAGTCGCTGCGCTGGAGCTTAAGTTATAGCTCGTCTGAGTTGTTGCAATAGAGGACTGTGATGTCCTTTATTGTAATGTTATTATTGAGCAGTATAAATCATGTCCATACTCTTTCAATGGTCGAAATAAAGTCAGTATTCTTATTCAACTGAACAATTTGATATATATGGTTTTTTTTACGTACAATGAGGTATATAAGGCACCGTTCTCCTGCAGAACTGCTGATGTTGCTTTTGGCCGGATGCCTGCAACTATGTTGCAAGTGTTGTCTACATGAAGGTGCGGTGAAGCTTGGCGGAGGGGCGGTGTATACTTCTCGTACATAGCGCTCTTGTGCATTCGAAGTACCTGCCATACCAAGAACTGAGTTTTCATGACAATAAACACAATACAACCTTAATTGCAATTCTCTTTATAGGCTTAAAAAAACACCGAAATGTATGTCTGAGTGCACATGTGTAAAGAAATTCTTGGGAACAGCGCACAATATAGCTAAACGTTATCTTTAATGTCTTCCGATATTGATTTAAAATTTTGCGGAAGACAGCAGCATTAAAATTGTGTCTTTAATTAACTAAACTTTGGCTCCTATGGAATTATTCCTTTGGCTTTCCTTGTTGGGACGAAGGGTGGAAGTAGCAGTAGTATAAATGACAAAAAAAAGATCTGTATAATCTGTTGTAGAAGCTACATGCACAATTTTATGATTGAAGCTATTAAAATTTATTTAAATAATTTTAAGATTTTAATGTGCTTAGTGATGGAAATTTGATGTTTGTAATCTTCTCTATATGTAAAACTGTCCTGACTGACTGATTGGTTATAAACGAACAGTTCCAGTTCACTTAAGAGGTGTTTCACACTTTCAGGAAAATTCATCCCTCCTATGTGAAAATTGGGGTAAATGATTTGGTGGGTGTAGCTTCAGGTTCAAATTTATTTCCAAAGATCTTACTGAAAATTCATTTAGGACGTGTTTTACACTTTTCAGGAAATCCGCTCCTTCTTGCCGGAAAGTGCAGATCGAAGATATTTTGGGCATAGTATTAAGTTTCAATATTAGTTACCAAGATTGTAGTGAAGGTGCACGCTCAGACTGGATTTTTGGAAATTCAACGCGCAAGTATGGGAAAATTACGAGATACATTTGTATGAAACATTTTTGCTTACCATCCGATCGGCCTCGAACTCATTGTCAAAGATCTTTGTTCGAATTCTATTAAGGGATGTTTCACACTTTTACGAAAATCCATTCCTCCGTGATATATTGGTGTAAAAGATTTGGTGAACGACGTTTCGTGATCAAATTCATTTCCACAGTTATTTATGAACATTTATTTTAGACGTGTTTTATACTTTTCGCAAAAATCAAGGATAGAACCGCGTTCGCAAAGATCTTTGAGAAAATTCAATTGACACATATTTTACACTTTTTGCTAAATGTAGGCTAAGAGATTTTTTAGGGGAAACTTTAAGTTTTCTTAGATCCGATAACTGAATACGTGTTTCAGCGATTTTGGAAATTCCACCCGCAACTAAAACTTAAACTTATATTCAAAGATCTTTGTTAGAATTCATTTGTTACGTTTTGCGCCAATTTCACCGCTCTTGAAGAAAATGCGGTTCAAAATTTTAATGTACTTTTCCAAGTTTTGGTTCGTTATTCGATGGACCTTAAATATATTTTCAAAAACACGGAGTTTAAGATTGTACCGGCAGATTTTAATTTTCCACTGGCAGGAACGGAATGAAAAAGTTGCTTTTATAATTTTAAGCACAAACCTTTAGTTATCAATAAAGGTACAATAAATGTCTGTTAATATTTTATTATTTACTATTATAAAAATAGTTCCATATCACAAAAGCATTAAAAGGCAGTCAATTTTATAATTTTCATAAATTTGAAGTATATAACAAGTTGCGTCACATCGAAAATTCCCTATTTATAATACTTGGCATCTGCGTGTAGTTCACTCCCTCGTCCGCAGTCCGCACGATCGATATCAACAAAGCTACAACGTCTGTAGCAAACCACCTACACAACACTATTCAAAATGAACCACATAATCAAATGAACAACACTAACAGCTGTAACGACAAGAAAATGTAAACAACAAAGGTGAGACGCTCAATATAAATTAACAAAAAACACTATTTATCCACTTGACTCTTCCAGATCGGGTCCCGGTTCCGGACCCAGCGTACCCGCCCTACCTTAGACGATCATCTGAGCTTGTCTCCCTCATTTTGGCCACTAGATGGCCTTCATCAGCCCGTGTCGGCTGTCATGCCTCTCCCCATCAATTGAGACTTAGCCGGACATTTCTCTCTTCAGTAGGTGCGTATAATTGGTTGCGCTTCTTATAATTATTAACAATTTTAACATCTCTTATCTCCTATGTATACAGGGTATCCCCATTCTGCAATTTATTATATGCAAGCTGACATATGTATGTCTTCAGCTCGTCAACAGGTGCGTAGTATTGCTTCGCTTTGCCTTATAATTATCACAATTCTGTATTAATTTCTAACATTTTATTTATCTTACAGAATACATTTTTATTTAACAACTTTAAAGAGAACAGGCAACGAAAACACTGCCAAAGTTATTGCCAGTCAACAAAAAAAAAACAAGGGGAAAGATACTAATAACAGGTAATTATTGCACCAATGGGGGAGCAAGTGCTCGCTTAAATAGATACGTGTATATATATGTGCCACAAAGAAAGAGGTTATATGTACATATGTCAAAAGCGCTTATTATACCTTGCCTGCCTAAAGAGCTCTCTGGGGGTGGGGGCGATAAGGGCCATCATAATGGGTATTCTGCACATATGGTGCCTGACATATATGTATGTATATATGTACATATAAGCGGGTATCGCTCGTGCACAAATTAACGAAATCTAAATATTTTCTTTTTTATTTATTTGGCTTTCCTTCGCTGTTCGCACTTTAGGAAATTTTCTTAAGTGAAACTCGGCGTAAGTACATATATATATATACATATTTCTACAAAGGAACTAATTCTAATGATGCAAAAAAAAATATTTTCTTAGCCAGGGGTATCGAACATGAGTCTACTTGTGCCTCTGCCTGTTACTCAAGGCGAGGGTGGGCGTTATGGATCGGAGTCACTCGGATGATGTGGACGTGGTCTCGCCCGTGGCCGCTTCTTGGCCTGTCCTTCTGGTTAGCGTCGGTGACACGTGTGCCGAGGGTATGGCTGATGTGCGCCGCTGCGTCGAAACCTGGCCTGGGTGTGACTCTGTTGGCCTCTCTGGTCCGAGAGCTTGTCCCTTCGTTGCCGGAACCATGGGTCATTTGTTTTATAAATGTTTTTATTTGTTCGTCCCGTGTCGCATATAAGTTTTAATATTTTTAATTTTTGTATATTGTAACACAATGTTTGAATTTATGTTTCATTATTAAACCTCGAAAAAAATATTCATTTGTTAATTTTTTTTTGTACGCGCCTCGAGCACGGCACGCCCGCCGTTGACCGCTGCCCATATTGAACTCCCTGCTGTACCTTTGGGCAGCAACATCATCGGTGCCGAATTTCGGTACACGCATACATACGAGGCTGGCACCGTTGCTGCCCATCTGCACAGCTGCACTCTAGGGTCAACGGCCCAGTTGTAGGCCAAGGGCATTAACAAGGGCACCCGATCCGCTCTCCTCCTAATCTCTCTATGAGCGAATCGATTGCCTAATCATGCTCGCTCAATGGCATTACCCCTCTCTGCGCAGTGGATCGCAAGCCGGGCGTTGCCACTCTTCATTTAATTGGGCGCCGCTGTGTGCCCGGTTGCACCCCCGCTACTCTGCTCATACTACAAAAAGATATCGGCGTGGCCAATAATAAAGAACGCAACCCACTAAGTAAACTATCGATGCTGCCAAATATATCAAATGCTCTCTCTTTATATACGGCGATTGAAACAAATAAAATAGTTTCTTTTATGAAAACTTAATATTACCTATAGACTAACAAAACGTGGCGTTTGTATATGCCATTAACAGTATACGGACGGACGTACAATCAGACAGACATAGGTAAATAGATTCTGTATGCTCTATATGGTCAGATATGTTTTCTTCCATCTATTACAAATTCATTTCTTAAAAGGTACAATATAACGAAAAAATAACATTAGCAAATGATATTCCAATTAATAATTTGAGAAAAAATGTATGTGGAAAAAATTATTTGAAGAATTTCCCACATACCCAAAGTTTAACGCTATATAAAAATTATTATCCATCGAATTTTTAACACCAACTAAATTACTAGCAGCGGCACTTGTACGTTGTGGGCGTCTTTTGTAGAATTCTATTTCGTCTACTGTCCAGACAGCCCCTTTTACATTCTCAACGCGCATAAAGCATTTATGCAGGGATAGATTGTGGCGTACTGCATTCTAGAGGTATGTACGTAGTAAATTTGTTATTAATTAATTAGTAGTATATAAAATGGTAAGTCACAGCCATAAGCACTTTAAGCCATGAGTGATGTACATATAGTTTTAACTGAATTTAACAATAAATTAATGAATTTATTGTTTTATTTTGAAAACGGAGGCTTTACTCTTCGTGTATATATGTACATAGATGCTTCAAATGTCAAAATAATCGAAACAACAGAATTTTTAATGTGTTAAAGCCCCATACGTCATTGCGATCATTTTGTTATGCTTTTTTATAATATATGTACATGTATGTACATATGTATGTATGTTAGTTTTAAATTCCTTACAGCCCAAAAACATATGTGTGCATGCATGTGCAATGTGTGTCTTGCTCAGTAATTGATTTGTGCAGCTGTGTGCATCAAATTCCCCCAGCATAGCTTTTAAAAAAACCATGAATTCTACAAACATACATACATATACATATATGTACATACATATGTATGTGTTGTGTAGATGTGCGCACAAGTATGTATATCACGTCGTTCGTGAGACTCAAATATTTATGTATATACATATGTATGTATGTATATTATATATTTTTATACCCTGAATCCATTGAAAATGGGTAACAGGCAGAAGGAAGCATCTCCGACCTTATAAAGTATATATATTCTTGATCAGCATCAACAGCCGAGTCGATTTAGCCATGTCCGTCTGTCTGTCCGTCCGTCTGTCAGTCCGTCTCAAGAGGATCTCAGAACCCATAAGAGCTAGAGACTTGAAATTTTAGCTGTAGGTCCTCCTAGCCCATGCGCAGATCGAGTTTGTTTCCGATAATCGATAGCTTGCCCCGTTTCCAAGTAATCGATAAAAATCGATATCGAAATCCTTTTTTTTTTTAGCAATTTTGGTAAATAATAAGAGCTAGAGTCACCAAACTTGACATGCAGCTTCTAGAATAGTATATATATATCAAGTATCTTTCATTTTACAGCTATCACCACCTTCCCGCTACCACCACTAAGCTATAAATCATGTTAGCAAGCCAACTTGTATTGCCTATCTAATTAAGCCACAATTTAAATGCAATTGTCATTTTGAGAATACACGAATATTTTATAGTACAATAAGATATACCACTGCAAATTTCATCAAGATCGGTTAAGAAACACGAAAGAAAATGTGTTTTGGCCTGCAAACACGTGCAACAGCAAGCGCAAATTCCAAGAATTTCTGTATACATGTACACACACATTCATGCGCGTCTTCCTTGAATTCTATCAACAGAATGGCAATTCCGGTTGTATTGTTTTCTGTGCTGCTATTTGAATCCGTTATTTCTCATTAAGACTTAACTGTTGCTGTGGCTATTGAGTAGAGCCGGCGGAAAGTAGCGCGGTCAGTTGCAAGTTCGAACCCTGCCAAGGGAACTTTTTTTTTTTAGTTTATCTTTATTACTAATAAATCAAACGAGCGCGTAGCGCGAGCTGTATTTGGTGTTGGAATGAGAGGGTTCAGGGTATTCTCTAGTCGGGAGCTCCCGACTGGAACCACTTACTTGCTTTTTTAATAGTTTGTTGATTAATTACAATAATTTATATATTAATGTTATATTCTTAATTATACTCTGATCTAATAAAAGTGGTAAAAAAGGTTATAATATTTTCTATGGCAGGATTGTTTCAAATCATAAATTGCCTCGTCACGCGTGTTTCTGTCTTTGGCATAAGAAGGCTCAAAGTATTTCTAGTCGCGCTCTTCCGGATAGAGCACTCTTTTTTTTTATTCCCATCAAAAATGAGTAAAAAGGGTTGAATGTTTTTGTGCAAGTGTATGTAACAGGCAGAAGAAAGCATCTCCGACCCCATAAAGTATATATATTCTTGCTCAGCATCAATAGCTGAGTCTATCGAGCCATGTCCGTCCGTCTGTCTGTATTTATGAGCGCAAGGTTCTCAGAACCTATGAGGCTTGAAATTTTGACTTAGGTACTCCTAGTGCCCGCGCAACATGAGTTTGTTTCCGATAATCGATAACTTGCATCGTGTTTAAACAATCGATAAGAATATAAATTTCAATATCCTGATTATTGAGCAAATATCTTAGTCTTTAAGAGCAAGAGTCCCCAAACTTTACGAGTAGCTTCTAGAATTGTATATACAGATCAACTTCCTTCAATTTTATAACTATCGCGGTGCCGATTGTTATGAGTTCGAGGAATTTTGAGGCAGCTATTTTTGTTTATTTTAATATATTTTTAGTGCTGATAAAGAAAACGAGCTTGTCGCGCGAGCTGCATTTGGTGTTGTTGAAGAATGTTTTTTTTTCCAGGGTATTTCCTAGTCGGGAACTCCCGATTAGAGCCTCTTACTTATTTTACCCTTTATCTAAAAGCAGTTTTTTCTGTTATATGTTTCCTTTTATTACATACAGAAGATGATTTTCTAGAAGACTTTGGACAAAACTATTCTTGTATACTTTGCATATTGGACAATTTTCATAAAAGTTAACATTGCATTTTATGACAGGTATTTTCTTCTAGTTTTGATGTGAGCTATAAGAGCACTTCCAAATATTCTATATTCTATCACTAACCAAATAACATATAGACCGGACAAACCGTACTTTTGAGGGTGACATTCGATATTTCTGCGGCTGGTCCAAACTCGCCTTCGTTTTTGTTCGGGTTCGAGACATGCCCGCATGCTCTCAGAGCAAGAGCGTAAAAATACATATAGCCTGTGTCGGGGAACGGCAACGCTGTCTTTTTACTCGCTCACTCTACAAGAAACTGCTGTGGCTTACTCTCATCCATATGATTTGTGCGATAGAACGGCATCGCTGTTTTTTATCTCGCTCCCACTACAGGAAACTGCTTTGGCTTACTCTCAATGCTCTTTCAATTTGTCTATGTACCGTTTAAATGTTTATGTGTGTATGTGTCCGCACAAGCAAAAATGCCCAGAAATTCAATTTTTCTCAAAAGTCGGTGGCATATCTTCCCTTTTGAGGGGACGAGTAATATGAAATAATGAAAGGGTTTGCCAAGTCGATGCGAAATTCTTTCATTTTAGCTCGTTCTTCTTCGAAAGGGTACCTAAGCGTTGGCATGTGTGCATTTAAAAGTTTTTGGACTTGCTATTCACGCATACTTGCGTATTTTGTATATGAATAGAAGCATTTATGCGCATGTGTGCCTGTTGGTCCCTGCCTGCCTGTCCGATGCAAATTTGACAATATTTTTGGACTTCTGAATTTCGAGCTCTACACACACACACAGAGACACAAATGTGTGTGAATGGGCTGATCATGGGCGCAAAATTTAAAAATATCATTATTGGCACGCTTCTGTCGCGCGCCCTTCTTTTTATCATTTAGGGCTTGAATTGATGAATGAATGTTGACCCCTTATTACCTGTAGATCAAATTCATATATGAAAAAGCTAAATATTTTAAGACAATAAAATTATTAATACTATAAATATATAATTGCTCCTGCTCCTCCTACATATGCAGGTGCAGGTGTTTGCCAAAAGTTGACCCTTTCGGCCCAACGGGCTGCTGCAATTAATAAGGGGTCAACATTCATTCATCAATTCAAGCCCTAAATGATAAAAAGAAGGGCGCGCGACAGAAGCGTGCCAATAATGATATTTTTAAATTTTGCGCCCATGATCAGCCCATTCACACACATTTGTGTCTCTGTGTGTGTGTGTAGAGCTCGAAATTCAGAAGTCCAAAAATATTGTCAAATTTGCATCGGACAGGCAGGCAGGGACCAACAGGCACACATGCGCATAAATGCTTCTATTCATATACAAAATACGCAAGTATGCGTGAATAGCAAGTCCAAAAACTTTTAAATGCACACATGCCAACGCTTAGGTACCCTTTCGAAGAAGAACGAGCTAAAATGAAAGAATTTCGCATCGACTTGGCAAACCCTTTCATTATTTCATATTACTCGTCCCCTCAAAAGGGAAGATATGCCACCGACTTTTGAGAAAAATTGAATTTCTGGGCATTTTTGCT